ATTTCACACTTCAGAACACAACTATCATTTGTGATATTATCAATTTGGCAAATTACTGATCATCTTCATCCATCATCGTCCACATTAGCACTAGCCCACACAGCTCCACGCCTCAGTGCGCAGCCATCTTGCACAAAATGTGTTTATGTGCAAACACATACATTTGGCACCTTAAAATGCACGCCTGTATATGCATTTTTACTTATGCTTAGGAGCAATCAGCCTCCCAACCTTCAGACAAAACCGACGCCCGGCTCACGACGACGCCTCACATGACAGCACTGATTCAACGCACCACTCTGCTTGAAATGAAGGAACTAAATGAACGAGAGAGAGCTAATCACGCTCAGCAGATGTACAAAGTGATTCGTGACACGACAGGCAAGCTAGAAGCACGTAACCTGGAGCTAGAGGCGAAGGTTGCCGAGCTGACAAAGGTCTGTCTGAACCAACAGGAGGAGGAACAAAAACTACGTGAACAGTTGGCCGGTGCGTTTAGCCGAATTTTTATTAAATTAAAATCTTTCATAGTCGTTAGGGGGTTTTAGGATTACGATCCCTTAACAAAGACGTTTTCTTGCATTATTTTCTTTTAATCCCGCGACAGGAAAACTTCTTTCGGTCTTGAATAACAACTCTGGCCACCTCAGATCGTCTCGCTTGAGATGATGTGAGGATGAAATGGGAAATTCTCGATTTGGAAATAAGTAGGCCTCATAGTTTTCTTACCTTCCAAAGGGTTTTTCCGTGCAGTCCATACTGCAGGCTCGACCTCGTCTCATCCTCACTCATCCCCAACTGAATTTAAAATCGGTTTATGTCTGTAGAGTGGCCACACATACCCATTATGCCATACAGCCACAGGAACCAGTGGTTGAAGATGTGAATTTCAACGCCAGCCACGCTTATGATGCGATCGTCAATAAGGCAAGTGTGTTTTGTGCGATCAAAGTCGACAACATTACTTATATTCGTAGGTAGTAGGTTTCGACACTATCGGTAGATCCTTAATTAAAACCCGAGTCAGTCTACACCGCTTAGGATGATACAACAGCAATAGTAAAATTCCAACAATGAAATGAATGGGGCAACTTGATCTACAATATCTTCTTATCAGGACGATCGGACGGAGTTTAGCATAAACCAAATTATACTGGAAATGAATTTTTTCGGATACTTATGTTCGATTTGAGTAATTCCTGAAAAAGGTAAAAAGAGAAATGGTTTCCAGCCACAGATTCGCTAGGCACCGTAGTTTTCTGGGCAGATACCGTGGACGGAGCGCCTCATTTTAACCATATTTTTACATAACCTGCGGAGAGAACCTCGACCTCTAGTGAAAATAAGCCTGTTGGATAGGCGGTGTTCGCTTCTGCAGGATATTTATGTAAGATTTGTTCTTACTTACCTTGATACTCTGATGCACAGCATTGAAATTACCTCTTTTTAAATCCTTTCCATTTTTTATAGCACTGAGAAGAAGGGATCAGAATTGAACTAACCACTTCTGTTGGTTGTCATGTCTGTATAAGTCCGAAATCTAGAGACCCACTACATGACGACCGCCTTGGCAGAGATCCTTGCTTGGATCATAGTCAGAACCAATCCATAATAATGATAACCCCATGTTCATGTAGATTCAGCTGAAGCTCTCTCTGGGACTGGCTTAAAAGAGCAACTTAGGGTCTTTTTATTTCTAAGGATTTTACTCTTTTGGAACAGGTCACATGATCGGGCCCAGAATTAGGTTGCTAAACTACAAGTAAATTTTGAATAAGAGATCTAGTTCCCCTAGGTCTCATAGGTTTTTGAAAGAATGAGTTGTATTTTGCCGCAATTATAAGAATTAATCTCATGATTTCATTTAATTTCGCATAGCCTTGCTCTCTGGAAAGATTAGACCTTTTATTTAAGATTGATTGCTAATCGTGAAAACCTACCTCATCTAAATATAATTAATTTCGTCGATTGTTATAGAGAATGTAACTTTGCATTATCGACACTACCACTAAAAAAATGTGTAAAAGGACACGCCTGTCCTTTCTTGAAATTCACATCTATATTGGTGAGGTGAGGACATGTAGAAATTATACACTGAATTACCCTAGTTCGAGTCCCGTAGGAGAGGTCGAAGCTG